AATAATAATAACATTAATGATAATAAATTAAATTAAAAACTATTTTAATAGAAGTGACAAATTGAGATTTATTTCTCTTATGGTGTTAGTCTTGAAAATTTTTTAAAGTACTTACCAATAACGTTAATACGAGTATTTTGCTCATATCTTACAACTAGTTTTTTAGTTTGGTGGAATTCTTTTATGCCTAATTTCTTTATGATTTCGGTACAATTTCACATATAGTATACGTTTCCTTCTAGTCTGGGCAAAGATTAAATGTTGAGCGAATTCTTTGGTTAGTATCTCTTTTGGGTCATTTTCTTATTGCTATGACAATTTGTTGGACATATTAGTTCCTATCATCTTAATTATTGACCTCTTAAGCTTTTGTTTGTTAGTTTGTATTACTTATGACTATCTTTTGTTTAACTTGTCTAGTTGTCTTTATCTTGCCATCAGACACAATGTGTTTGGGCGAGGGAGTGAGCCTGATGTTTACTCCGCTCTTTCTCACTTTAAAAAACACAACTTTTTTCGCAAGTCGAACATCTGCTTTTATCTCTAACCTTTCCCTTGGCTTTTTCGTCTCGCCAAAGGCAGTATTCTATTCTAAGCAGTCTTCAGGGAATCGTAAAGTTGGCACATCAGAAAGAGGTGCTTCAAAGACACCTTGAAAATGTCTTTGAAGGACTTCAAAAATAACTTTGGACCTAGGAGAGCCGTGCTCCTGACAGACTCACATGGAGAGAAGCAGTCACAGTGGGCAGCAAATCATAATATGAGGCTTCCCAGAAGACCACAGCGGAAAAATGGCTGTAGTCAGAGATTGGAAATTGGGAGGGTGCCATTTTTAAAAGCTTCACATTTCTTTGACTGGTGGTTTATTGTTCAGTGTTGTTGAGTGGGAAATCTGACAACAATAATCAACCAACAGTTGAACAGAAATACATGAATGAGTGAACAAGCGTTCAAAATTGGCACCCTCCCAATTTTCAGTTTATGGTTACAGTCGTTTTCCCCCTGTAGTCTTCGCTGAAACCAACAGAGCAGTCCGGTTACTGTGTTCATCCACGAAAGGAAATGAAGTTTATAAATGTTTGAAGTAAGCCAAACTGCTAGCATCGATCTAGTTGGGCATAGCAGAAGTCACACGTCCCCTTAAACATTATTACTCTAGTCTCGTATAAGAAATATTATTACAATTTTCCTTTGGAAATTCTTGGGCCATCAAAAGACATTAACGGGCTTATTATTATTATTATTTATTATTATTATTATTATTATCATTATCATTATTATTATTATTATTATTATTATTATTATTATTATTATATTTATTATTATTATTATTATTATTATTATTATTATATTATTATTATATTTATTATTATTATTATTATTATTGCTTTTATTATTATTATGATGATGATGATGATGATGATGATAACGATAATTTTTATCCTTTGAAGTCGATATTTTTTGCCTGTTTAGGGGTACATGATATTGTTGGATTTTTTCATATTGGTAAAATTATGGTTTTCCCGAAAGTTTTGAAAAGTTTTATCCCCTACGTCTAAAAAAATGACTTGTCGAATGTGACTTAATAAACACCATTTGGAGGTGAACTTTCTTCATCCCTAAATTGGCAAAGGGATCCTTAACGTGCATTCCATAATGCCTTATTGATGCATTGTACCGTGTTCTAATTTACTCGATTTTTTATCTTATTGTGATGTGTGGCGAGAACAGTTGTGAGATAGTCAGAAGTGTTTTGGTGAGGGAAATGTTGGGTGGCTATAAGCTTATATGAGAAAAAAATGGGACATTAAGTTGGTTGGGAAAATATTAAATGTTGAAAGGAAAATATTCAAATACACACACACACACAGACACACACGCACACACACACACTCACACACTCACACACTCACACACTCACACACACATACACACACACACACGCACACACTCTCACACACACACGCACACACTCACACACACACACACACACATGCACAGACAGACACACACAGAGAGAGAGAGAGAGAGAGAGAGAGAGAGAGAGAGAGAGAGAGAGGGGGAGAGGGAGAGAGAGAGAGACAGACAGACAGAGAGAGACTGGGAAAGAATATAAAAAAGAAAGAGAAAGAGCAAGATAGAGGGAAAAGAGAGAGGGTGAAAGGGGAGTGAGAAAGAGAGGTACAGAGAGAGTGGAAAAGATGAAGAGAGAGAGAGAGAGAGAGAGAGAGAGAGAGAGAGAGAGAGAGAGAGAGAGAGAGAGAGAGAAAGAGAGAGAGAGAGAGAGACCGTGAGAAAAATAGATATATTGATAGACAGGCAAAGAGACAGATAAACAGACAGACAGACAGAGAGATATACAGAGAGAGAGAATAATAGATAGATAGATAGATAGATAGATAGATAGATAGATAGATAGATAGATAGACAGATAGACAGATAAACAGACAGATAGATATATAGATAAATAAATAAATAGATAGATAGATAGATAGATAGATAGATAGATAGATAGATAGATAGATAGTAAGTACGAGATAAGGGACAGTCTGTGAGGGGAAAAAATGTAGAGGAAAGGCTTGTGTAAAAGTAACGTAAAGCTCGGATGACGTAGGTCATATCAGTACAGAAATAGAAAAACAGAATCAACGAAACTCTAAAAAAAAAAAGAAAAGAAAATGATAAGAATTAAAAAATACACTCTCTGTTCTTTAGTTGCCGTCTATTTCTGCCATCTGCTTCACTGTTTTACTAGATCTTATCTTTCATTTCTGGGTGTTTGTGGAATTTAAAAAAAACATTTCTAACCCATTTAAATGTGGTGAATCAGACCAATCTAATCTCCCTAGAGAAAAACAACATGGAAAACTAGAACAAACTGTGAACAGAATTTCTAAAACTTTTGACTTTAAAAAAATGTTATGCCATCGAAGATTTAAATGTATCGCTTTCATAATGATTTGGGCGGGTCTTTGGCACCTTTTACTTCTCATTTTTCAATCTTCTCAATCACAAAATCAGGAGGGCTGACATGAATGTATTTATCGACTTGCAGATGAAAAGCTGACGATACCACGCCTAATTGGTGAACTATCGTGTCCATCAATCGTCCACACGCTGTTCGAGAGTTCTAAGCCAAGAGAACAATATTATATTTTGTATTTCAGAACAGAAAAATAACTGTCTCATAAAAAAAAAATCTACTCCGATATAATTTATCTTCTCGTACATTTCTTCAACATTTATAACTAAATCCAGACGCAGTATTGTTGAATTACCAATAACTGATAAAGCAGATTAAAAAACTGCAGTAATAAAATTCAAATTTTTTTGCTAGTTCAACTGAACACCTGGCCAATGCAATGCCCCCCCCCCCAACCCCCCTCCCCCCTCAAATTATAATAATTTGACCTCCTAGAGCTTTTTCGTCATACCAATACATAACAGATTGTCAAACAACCCACAAGCTTGACCTTCTATACAACTAGGAAAAACTAAAGCATGAAAACTGTCAACTGTATTTTTTTAAACTACTAGAATTTGGCACGACATTACAAAATGTAACATAACATAGACCTACCGTCTCGAATTCCTTTATATTGAAGGACAAAAGACATAACGATGACTGAAATTGGCGTCCTTTTCATTTTAATTTCACGTGTCCAAATAAATGGTTAAATGGTATAGTTTTAACGCCCAAATTAACATTATTCGTTTATAGAAGAGGCGGGACATCCTGGTTTAACGTCCACCTCCGAAAGGACCAAGCCAAATTGAAAATTCGTGTAAAGTGCCTATCCCAAGTGCACAACGTCGGACTTCCATGTAAGCATCATGAGGAACTTACAAGTAGATAACCTGTTGAATCATGGTGAAATATTTACAAGTAGATAACCTATTGAATCATGGTGAAATAATAACATATGTTTAATGTCCTATCAACACGTCTTTTGGGCCATTTAAGAGGTGGGACCTCCGAGTTTAACGCTAATCTCCGAAAGGACCGAGCTAAATCGGAAATTCTTGTACAGGGTTTTCCAAGGACCCAACGCCGGGTCGAGATGGGGTTTGAACCCCCGAACCTTCATTCTCGCTTTTACTGGTCCCCGAAGCTATCAACACCATAGCTTTGTACATAACAGATACGCGGATAGAAAATCATGCCATGCTCTTCAGTCAACAAGAAAGAAGCTTTTACAAAAAGGACACTTCTTCTCAAACAACCACATGTAGGATTACTTTTAAAAAGAGTTTTACGCCATTTACAAGAATGAAATATAAAAAGTTACATAAATTATGTCGAAGGTTATAGATGTAACTAAACAATAGCACACCAAGAAAAAAAGGAAAAGATAAATAAAGACGATATTATACATTAAAACAGGAAAGAGGGAAGAAAACACACTACAGCATCCCCCAACGGTCCACTAACTGTACTTGCTAAAGAAGTTTAGCGTCGGTGGTCTAGTGGTTAGGATACCGGGCTCGTAATCGTGAGGTTACAAGTTCGAGGCTTCGAGCCTCAGGCCCGCCGTTGTGTCCTTGGGAAAGGCACTTTACGGGAATTTTCCCTCACTTCACCCAGGTGGGAATGGGTACGCGGCCATAGACAGCGACCTATCTTGTCAGTATGTTAGTGTTTTTGTGCCTATAAATGACAGTTTGCACTGAATGCTTCCCAGGAACTCGAGATTTTTTTAGAATGCTATCAGTTCTGTGGGCAATAATACAGATTATAAAGCGCATAGAGCTTGCTGTTGAGCGGGAACTTGCACTATACACAATGACATGTTATCTAATATGATTATCTTACCTGGGACAGACAGAATGCCTGAGTGATGACAGAAGGAAATGTCCCCGTGGCAGAAGCAGTAGGCTGGCCGGTGTGGGGCTGCAGGACTGACACATTCTTTGTCCTCCGCCTTCTGCTCGAGATGTTTGCTTTCAAAACAGCGATCGTCTCTGTTCTCTTCGGTTCCTGCCTCGACACCCTTCTCCCGTACGGCGTTATATCTCTCCTCTTCTTCAGCGTCCCGCAGTGAATCTTCCACAACTTTCGGAATCCTCACACACAGTATGTCTTCTTTGCACGACGTGGCAAGATTTTGAGGGGAGTCTGAGGAATTTCTTGACACAGAAGGTTTCAGCAGATTTTCCACACAAAAGGCTTGAGCTTTAGCGCTTAAAGTCATTTTCGACCCTGGAAGATAAGTCTCTTATCAGGAAGACTTCGTTAAGTTTTAAAGCTCAATTTCTGATTGTTATTAGTATGTGTGAGTTATTTCACAAAACCCTATAAGCGTTGTTCATTTTGAAGAGGTTCTAAAAAGCTTTCAAACTGAACACACTTACGCACGCTCCAAAATACCTTTCCGTTAAAAATTTCGAAGCACCGAGTGAGGAAAACTTTGACTTCGCAATCTTACAATCTTCACTCCAAATTCAAACGAGGGAGAAAGAAGTCAACTATGTTGTTCCGAAAACAACTTTCACACTTTTGATTTAACATAAAAAACCGGACGTCTGACTTGTCAACTCTTGAAAACAGAACAGCTTCTCACAAACAGACAGTGTCACTTTTGTTCGCTTTCCCAGTGACAACCAACATGCACACACCTTCAGACAGAAACAACAATCGGTTAAGACATCGCTATAATCTAATAACGACAAGGTCTCTGTTACAATCTAAAAATAGAAGCCAATCAAGCAAGAGTGTGAAAGCTGTTTCGTTATCTCCGTTTCTTACGTGTAGAAGTGTGGGCCTGTCACTTCTTGTGTCAACCAATAGCGGCTTGGATGATAGCCACAAGCTCTCAGAAAAGTCTCAGCGATCATCGTATTTGTCTCTCAGTCTGTGCCCGAGGTCCCGGACAACCTGTCAATCATCTGGACATCATGTCCAAGCAAGGTGCATGACGTCTTTCAGGACATCTCCAGGAATGTTGGGTGAATATTCATGAAGTGATTCGGTTATTCAATTCACATGATTTGTAATGAGTGGTGCTTCAGATTCCCGGTTTTTTTTGGTGTTGTTTATTTCGGGGGTGAGGGGTTGAGGGAGGGGGGGGGTTAGTCTAAATGATATAATGCTTTATCAATAGAATGCAGTACAGCGTCAAGGGTGAATGTCTTCCTACTGTCAGAGTAACCTAAGTGAATAGGCTTTTCAAGGACATCTTGCGTCGATTTATTTTTACTTTAACACTTCAATTCTTCACCTCCCTTTTACTTTAGCGTCTCTTTTCTTCTATTCTCTTCTCCCATCACCCTCTCTCTCTCTCTCTCTCTCTCTCTCTCTCTCTCTCTCTCTCTCTCTGTCTCTCTCTCTCTCTCTCTCTCTCTCTCTCTGCGCCCTTCCCTCTTACCCCTTCTCTCTTTCTCTCTATCGCTTTCTCTGTATCTGAGTGCGTGTTTGTGTGTATGTGTCTGTGGGGTGTGTATGTGCATATGTATGTGCGTGCGAGTGAGTGTTTTTGAGAGACAGAGCATGAGAAAGAGAGAAAGAAAAAGAGAGAGAAAGAGTGTGTGTGTGTGTGTGTGTGTGTGTATGTGTTTATGCGTGATTATATATATGTGTGTGTGTGTGTGTGTGTGTGTGTGCGTGTGGGTGGGTGGGTGTGTTTCTCACCCCTCTTCACCCCTTCCTCCCACCATTACGCCTTATAGATAGGCATAAATCGATTTTTCCTCAAACGAGTAGGCTGTCCGCCCACCCATTTGTAGACCAATCTATTGGGTCAACGAAGTATTTACGAGTTATCAACCACCCTTCCTCTCTTCCATCTAGTAGATACATGTCTGTTATTTTAATAAACGAATGTCCGAACAGAAACATGAAAAATAAAAAGTACCTTTCTTGGAACTGAAGACAAAGAAGGAGAGCGTTGGTGAGTAACACTTTACAGCTGGTAAATATGATAACGGCAAGATTTCGCCATGATCAAATCGAGGCTGTATGAGCCAAGAACAGACGCAGACCATAACAATAATATATTATCATAGCACCATCAAAACCACTCATAGAACGAGCTTGGGAAAAGTATGGAAAATGAGTGGGGTTTTTTTTTCAAATACATGTAGAGCAAGATTCAGATCTACATCTGTTTTTAAAAAAAACAACACACACTCACACGAAACAAAAGTTATTTTCACCTACTTGACAACCACACGGTAGAGTTTGGAACAGTTCTGTTGACAATTAAGGTGAAATGAATAAAAAAAAATGAGGACATAAATCTCAGTCTGAAAGTTTAAAATGCATTCATAGTAACATTGTTAACCACCGCTCTTCTAAATCCCCCCTAAACAAGAGTGTTATGAAGTACCCCCCCCCCTCCCAGCCTTTTTATTTGCCCCAATCGACCTGTCTCAAAAACTTTACCGGACAAGCTTTATTCGTTTACATGCGGAAGGTCTCATTCCACAGTGACGTCACGTTTGTCTTCAATCGTAGAAAAAAGTGTAGTTCCCTAGTTGAAGAAAGACCTAAGTTATGTAATATGCAGGTTCCAAAACATGGGGGGGGGGGGGTGTGTTGGTGTAATTTGTAAGTAACACTTTATAGTATAGCTAGAAAATATGATAACGGCAAGATTACGACGGATCAGATCTAGGCTGAATGAGCCAAGAACAGACGCAGACCATAACAATCTTTGGATATTGTAAGTTGTGATACGCCCTTTAAAGAATACATTAATTTATTGGTTACAGTTATCCATTCATTCGTTCAATTTGTGTTCATGTACTCTTTGACTTATTGATCAACTGATTCATCTATAAAATTGTATAGTTTTTCTGATTCAGGTTTGTATATTAAGATATCACATTACTATCATTATCCTTTAAATAATTAATTTTTAATTCATTTACCCATTTACTATAAATGTATTAATCTACTGATTATTTATCAATCATTCATTACTTAATTACCCAATTATTTGTTCATGGGTTTATTTCTTACAAATTAATAATTTCCTTTTGACTGGGGGTGGGGAAGACTTTTTCGGGGATGCGTAGGTGGGGGAGTGTGGAGGAGAGAGGAGGAGGGGGGAGGGAAGAGGTGGTGCCAAAAAGGAGCCCAGGCGGCCAGACAACAAGACAGAGAGTGGCTCCTCCGATACCAGCCTTGTCCTTTTGTCGAGAGGCAAGATGATCACCTCGGGAGTCGAGAGGGTGATAAGGGTGATAACCCTGGGACAGACGATACAGGCGACGATAACGGTGGCCCTCCAACTTCAAAAGTAACGTAAGGACAACGGGATGGAATGTGATACAGGCTACTGGTGGTGGTCACGTGACCCCGGCGGCTGGGGGCTTCTGGAAGTCAGTAAGTGAGTAAGTCAGTCAGTCACTCAGTCAGCAAGTCAGTAAGTCAATAAGTAAGTCAGTCAGTCAGTCAGCAAGTCAGTAAGTCAGTCAGTCACTCAGTCAGTAAGTCAGTAAGTGAGTAAGTCAGTCAGTCACTCAGTCAGTAAGTCAGTAAGTGAGTAAGTCAGTCAGTCACTCAGCCAGTAAGTCAGTAAGTCAGTCAGTCAGTAAGTCAGTAAGTCAGTCAGTCATTCAGAGAAGATTCCATCAGTGCCTGTGGTTGCTATAACATGATTAGCAGACAAAATTGACTCCCACATTGATGTGAGAGTGTCGTCTTGCAAGGCACGACAGTCACGTTCTTAACCTCACGAATGTCATATCTGTTTACATAAAAGCGGTTGTTGGTACAATGTGTTTACAGAACATGGTTGTTCTTACAATGTTTTAACAGTATCTGGGTTATGGGACATTCATTTATTGTGCTCTTAAAACGTCGAATAATTTGAAAATAAAATTAGGACATTACTGTTTTATTTATCAAACAAGTTTGAAATTATCTTCTGTTCCAAAGTGAAAATTCACAGCCCTCTAGAAAGTAGTGACAAAACATCGTTGCCGTTATAATTGTTATTATCAGCACCACAAAAACAAAAAGACCACGTTCATTAGCTAGCATGAAAGCAATCTATAGAATATACAAACAGAACAAAACAAAGAAGTCCACAATTTTCCCTTCACAATAATGTTTACCAAGCGTCTAAATAATGTGTTGCTACTTAGAGCTAAGTGGGTTGTTAGTCTCGCACCTTATCTTCAGGAAGTGCATAGCCGTCCTCGCTGAAAGCGGACCGCAACATGAAAAGAGCATGTTGGTTTTTTTCCCTTTTTTCATATTTTTTGTTTTGTTTTGTTTTTTATCAATAAAATTTGGTTTTCAAGAGCTGGGCTTCTTGGTTTAGTTTTATTCATGTTACTTACTCACCTTCTTTCAATCATTTTGTATATTATTAATCTCCTTATTTGTCGTGATTGTCCGAATTAATTAATTTTTTTGCTTCACTTTTATTCCCAAAAAACGACATTCATTTAAGAGAGGACCAGTGTCTGTGGTGTAGTGATAGGTCACTTCACTGTCGTGTATAGAAGACGGGCGTGAGTTCAATTCTAATGTGGATAGGATCTCGATCAAGTGCCTCCTTTAATCAAGTCTGCTGAGACGTTGTATCACTCACAGCCTGTGTGTGTCCTGACAGGCAGAGTAGAAGCAGCCTACCTTCAAAATAAAAATGTGAGGCAGCTTGGTGGAATCAGGCTCTCGTCAATTTTTGGGCATATTGATTTATTGGTATCATCTTACAGCTTGTTCATTTGTCTTGCTTTCAATGAAACAATTACCCACCCATCTTCCATAGAAGTGGAGATCTTTTGAATAGAAGGAGGTGGGGGTCACCTGATTTAAGAGGTAAAATTAGCGAGAAAATGGCCGCCAAAGCTTGGTAAATTCCAAGGCTGGAGAGTCCATGGAAACTGTAAGTTTATATTTTTGTGCCTTTAATCAACGTGAAATCCTCAAAGGAATGTGTTTGTAAATAGACATAAAAGGTGTTGAGCCAAAAAACAAAAATTTGATAAAAAATGCTAAGCAGGGAGAAAACTGCTGTTTTCTTCGATTTCATTATTTTGACGAGAGCCTGTCCACCACGCTGCCTCACAAATCTATGTGGAATAGTGTCCATGGAGGTGATAAACAACTACAATAAATCTTTTAAGTAAATCAGAAGAAATACAACGAACTCTTTAATTAACACTTTATAAAACTCAATACATACCTGGAAGCCAATACGGTTAGAGAATGTTTGTCGTGATTCTCTCAGCTCTAATCAGTCATAGGCATCACCACCCAGACCTCAACACGTCCATCAACGGTTTTCACAGCACGTGTCAGTTGAAGAGATCCACCATCAATTTCATTACGAGACAAATAAGTACAACGTAGTAATGTTATTTTTTAAGAATTTCCTGACGGTAGACAAATAGAATCTGAGCCATGCTGTGAGGGTTCGTGTTTTTCTAGCGTTTCGCACCTGTCAACAGTAAATTGATAAAGAGAAAGCATAAGTAATTATTAGATTCTATACAGTGATGAAAAAACAACTGTTTCGCCCGAATGTCTACTTTTAGAACATTAATTAAGGGTCAGTACGTCCGGATCAAACATCACAGGTAGATCTACTTTTGCTTTGGCAGAGCGAGTGAGGGCGCGCGTGTGTAAATGTTGGAGTGGTTATTTGTATGAGTATTTAACGTATAAACGAACACATATCAGTATATGTTTGTGTTTGTACCTTTTAAAAGGGTTTAAAGGTTGTGAGAGGATGTTTGAGAGGAAGAAAAGGGGGAAGCCAAGAGAGGGAGAAAGAGAGAGAGAGAGAGAGAGAGAGAGAGAGAGAGAGAGAGAGAGAGAGAGAGAGAGAGAGAGAGAGAGAGAGAGAGAGAGAGAGAGAAAGGCAGAGAGATAGAGAGTTTGAGATTGCGTGTGTGTTACAAATTATGAGAGAGACAGAGTGAGATAGATAGATAGATAGATAGAGAGAGAGAGAGAGAGAGAGAGAGAGAGAGAGAGAGAGTGAAAGAGAAAGTGTGTGTTTAGGTGTGCGCGAGTGTGTGTGTGTGTGTGTGTGTGTGTGTGTGTGTGTGTGTGTGTGTGTGTGTGTGTGTGGGTGTGTGTGTGGGTGTGTGTGCGGGCGTATACATATTTGTGTGTTTGTGTGTGTATGTGCACGTATACGTATGTGTGTGTGTGTTTGTGTGTGTATGTGTGAGTGTGTGTGCGTGTGTGTATGTGTGTGTGTCCCCAAACATCTCGCAAAAATAGAGAAAAAAAGTTTCTAATCTTTACTCATGAAGCCATTACCCAGTCTATTTATCCCCCGTTTGCCTTATTTCTCCAGTAGCAATGTAGGTCATGTTTGTTTTTTTCATCCAAAATTTTCTCGAGCAGCGATATTTTTTCAATTTTAACAATTTCCTAGTACACTTTTCAAAAATGATTCGCGAATGCTCCATCAGCTCTTATGAATACTTAGACAGGACTTCCTTTTGATCTCATCATGTATAGAACTCCATTTATCTATCGTGTTGGTGACAGAAGGATATACGAATATAGAGACAGACTGACAGAGGTAGAGAGACAGCTCAAAGGACACGTTGTCAGAAAGTAAAAGATAACATTGAGATGTGGATGGCTTCTTTCGGAAACGTCTTAAAAAAAAAGAAAAAAATGAAGGCCCCATAATTCGATTGTTGACATTCTTTTATTCATAAAAAAAAATAAATCCAAATCGTAATACACTTTATTTACATTGATTGCCTGCATCATGACAATATTATTGTTTTGTTGAAAGACCACACACGACAATCCTCAGACGCAGAAAGATGGATAAGGTTAAGGTGTTGCCGATACAATCCAAATGATTTTTGCACTTTTGAGATAATCGTGAAAACACGCCTTCGTATAATTTTATAACACACTTTTTCAATAAAACATGACATTGTCTAGATTAAGGGCAACAGGCAGAACATTAAAAAAAAAATTGATTCTAAATAATTCTCCACGAAGATGGTAATTGCAAAATGGTTTACATTCTATTGTTGGCTAAATCTGACTTGAGTCATTATGGCAGCGCCATGACGATAATATGTGAGGCAGCGTGGTGGAATCAGGCTCTCGTCAATTTTTGGGCATGTAGAGTTATTGGTATCATCTTAAAGCTTGTTCACTTGTCTTTATTTGGATGAAAATAATATCCATTTATCTTAAATTTAAGTCAAGATATTTGCGAAAGAAGGAGGTAGAGGTACCCTGTTTTCAGAGGTGAAATTAGTGAGAAAA